ACACACACACACACACACACACACACACACACACACACACACACACACATACCACCACTCAGGAGGCCAAGGCAGGAATATCACTTCAAGTTCAAAGGCCAGACCAGAATACTGATTGAAATCTTGTCTTTGTCTGTTTATTCTTGAAACAGAATCTCACATATCCCAGGCAGGCCTTAAACCTGCTACGCAGTCATGGATGGCCTTCAACTTCTGCTCCTTCTGCCCTAGCCCTCCAGTGTTGGGATTCCAGGCTTGTGCACCCGTACCAGGTTTACAGGGTGCTGGGTGCACATGCTAGGCTAGCACTCTATCGATTTTGCTACTTTCCCCAGCCCCAAGATCCTATCTTAAAAAAAAAAAAAGTAACATTGAATGTACATATATACACTTACTGGGGTGTTATGTTAAAATGATCTATAGATTAAAGCAATCTCTCAAAATCCCAATGGCATTTTTGTGAAAACATAAAATTTCACCCTAAAAGAATACCAAACAGCTAAGATGATATGGAAAATAACACAATTAGAGTGCTTATATTTCCTGATTTCAGAACCTATTACAAAGCCACAATAATAAAAATAATAAAGGTATAACTCTTGCATAACCAGGTCAATGGAAAAGAATAGTTTCAGAATAAATCATGATTAATCTTATCAACATGACTTAATCAGAAACCTCTGGGTTCTCAACCTGTGAGTCATGACCCCTTTGGTGGCTGAACAACTTTTTCACAGGAGTCTCCTAAGACTACCAGAAAACACAGATATTTATGATTCATAACAGTAGCAAAATTACAGGTATTGCAGCTAGGAAGTAGCAAGGAAAATAATGTTATGGTTGTGGATCACCACCACACGAGGAACTGTTTTAAAGGGTCACAGGTTAGGGAGGTTGAGAACCCCTGCTCCAGATCAGTGAAGCACACATCTGGGTGTCTGTCAAATAGTTCCAGAGACTAGCAGATTATGAGGGCTCAGACCTAATCAATGGATTAGTATCTCATGGATTCGGTTTTTTTTTTTTTTTTTCTCCAAGACAAGGTTTCTCTGTGTAGTTTTAATGCCTGTCCTAGATCTCGCTCTGTAGACTAGGCTGGCCTTGAACTCACAGAGATCCGCCTGGCTCTGCCTCCCAAGTGCTGGGATTAAAGGTGTGCGCCACCACTGCCCCGCCTATCTCATGGATTCTTCATGGCAGCATTACTGGGAGGTGATAATGGGTAGACAGAAGGACTGAGGGGAAGAAGTAGGTGGAGAGGGACATGGACACTTAACTTTGGAGGTTAAACCTTATTCTGGCCCTTTCCTGTACCCCCTTTTCTCTACTTTGTCTGCCAGACCCTCCCCATAATGACGGACTGGGCCCTCTGAAACTAGGACACAGCAACGCTCCCCTTCTTTAAGCTGCTTTCCCAGATAGCGAGCCAAAGCCTAAGCTCACACACAGGGACAAACACCATTTGGTGTTCAGTAAGGCCAAGGCCACACAACAGGAAAGGGGAGTTTCTCCAATGTATGGCTTCTGGACAAATGGATATCATAAGCAAAAGAATTTTGAAAATAAAACTATACCCTTATCTTCCACCATTTACAAAAATTAACTCAGAATGAATTAAACACTAAGGGGGAAGACCTAAAGCTATACAACTTCCAAAGGAAACCACAGGGAGAAACTTAATGAAAAGGGAGCGAACGATGTCTTCTTATGATGTGAAACCAAAAGCATGGGTAACACAACCAAAAATGGCTGAATGTGAATACATAAAAACATCTGAACACTAAAAGTTACAATTAGAAAAGTAAAAGGGTGCTGGGTGATGGTGGCCCACGCCTTTAATCCCAGCACTGGGGTGGCAGAAGCACGGAGCTCTGCGAGTTCCGGGCCAGCCTGGTCTACAGAGTGAGTTCCAGGACAGTCAGGGCTACACAGAGAAACCCTCTCAAAAATACAAAAATAAAACAAGCCAACAAAAGTGAAAGGGCAACCTACAGAATAAATAGAAATAAATACTTTCTGGCCAAATATCTGATAAGGAGTTAATACTTAGCATATTTAAAGAACTCCTAGAATGCAACAAATAGCCACAAACGCCAATTCTTGAAAGACTTGAAAGACATTTCCCCAAAGACATACAATTGGCCAACAAAGAAAGTATGTACATCCATAATCATCAGAGAGGAATCAAGAGTGGGGGGAGGGGGTTTCTGGCAAAGGCTTTCCTAACAAGTAGCCCAGATCCCCAGCGCCATAAAAACAAACAAAAACCTTACAACATATAGGAAGGGCACTGTTTTGCAACCCTTTCGTTTCAAGCTGACCCATGAAGAAGCTACATCCACTGGACAAGAATCTAAAAGGCATGCTGACTAGACCTGAGGGAGTCTAGGCTCCCAACTACTGCTCTGGTTGGTTTAGGAAAGAACGTTTTCCTGGAACACAACCACACTCAACTCATTTACATATCGCCTATGGCCACGTTAGCCCTAGGAAAGAAGACCTGAGTGTCTGTAACAGACCAGAGACTTAAATATACTATCTGGCCTTTTGTAGATTCTAAATTCTTCACCTTTGAGAACGATCTGTGGTTATCAGCTTCATCATCTTGTCTTCCAGGGTCTTCTTTCACCTCAGGAGACAGGTAGCCCAACACACTAGCCACGCCTCTCCTTCCCTGCAACGCTCAGTATTTTACTTATGCGTATGCTTAGGGTGATCTCTCCGGGTCAGCTACACACCTCTTCTGGATACCCACCACAGTGCTTGACACATAGCAAGCTCCCCATTTGAAACACTGAGCCTACCTCAGGCCATATTCTTGGCCAACGCGGGAAAACACAGGGGTACCTTTCTTTTCCGAAATGCATTCTCCCTGGTCCTTGCCATTAGCTTCTCCTGTTGCAACTTTAGTGTCAACTTTGGGGAAGTCTTTTTTGACCGCCCTACCTAAATCAGGACTCATCCTTTTCTTGTTCTTTCTATAGAATCTGTCACAGCTTTTATTTACACGTTCGCCTGCATGGTTGTGTTTAATGTTTGATTCTCCTCGCTGAACTGTACTCTTTCTACCAGGTCTATTTCGGTCACCACGGT